GACACGAACACGCAGTCGTCCACGCGCGCGCGCGCGCGCGCGCGCGCGTGTGTGTGTATGTGTGTGTGTGTGTGATAAGATGCAACATGCATGTGTTGCATGTATCAATACTCGCGTGTAGCTATCAGTTGATTGCATTGAGTGCCTCACGTAATCGCCCGCATCAGATAGTGAGTTGCTCCGGTCCTGTCTATCCTCTTCTATATGCAGTTCGTAATTCGCGAACTATTTTCTCTTATAATTTAAAAACTAAGCTTCTGATAAAAATTTGATAGGGGAAAAATCATCTTCAGAATCGACTCAGGAATATGACATTTTAAGGACAAATGGTTCTTCTGAATCACCCTGTATACATAACATTAATGTATATAATATTTTATCATTTTTTTCACCTTATTCACTTTATGTTTTCACTTATTTGTCCTTACTTAATTTTATTTTAATAAAATACTATAATTTTTTTTTATATTTACATTCTGATATATAATACTTATTACGTACATGCCCGCGCATATGTCAAAAAGGATGTGCAAACCAACAGATTACTACTTGAACAGTGCTACTAATTCATAAAAATTAAAATTATTTCGTTTAGAAAATTTCGTTGGTGTCAATATTATCCCGTCTATTTTTCAGGAAACTGTCTAATCCAATATTTCACTTAAAAATGTATTTGATAGTTAATATATTACAGTATTAATTTAGTTTATTTACAATGTTATTTGCCTTTAATGTTTAAATCTCACAAAATTAAAAGCAGTAAAAGATATTTTAAGAACAGACATGTAGTAACTAGCGACACCCCCCTAATCGGAAGCGAGAGAGACCCTAAAAACATAAGCATCCAATGAGATTAATCCAAAGCGTAGTAGGGCAAGGTATAAAACCCACTGCGCGTACGGACAGCAGACAGTTACAGTGAGTTTAAGTTAATCAATCAGTAGTCGAGGGTGAAAAGCGCGAGTAATCGAAAAGTAGTGTACAAAATCTCGCTCACGAGAATGATCGCGTGCGGCACGAAGTGACTGATTCAATTCGTTAAAAAGCGTGATAAAGCGTACGAATTAATTTGTGATTCGCGCATAAGCGACATTTCGAGTACAGATCAAGTAGACATATCAAATTATGATAATCGCGACGACGAGACGATTTATTTTATTACACGATTTATTGGTTTGTGTATAAATATATAATTAACATATTGTGAAACATTATTATTTCGTTATTGCGGCATCAATACAAAGTTTGTAAAATCTGGAACAAAAACGACATTATATAATATATTTTATTAACATTAAAAGTGAACATTAATGTTACCCATACTCACCATTCCTGGAAAGAAAGTCGAGTCACAAACTGTGATCCAATAGATGTCCTGACGGAAAGATTCGAATGATCCAGCGACATCCAGAGGATACTTGAAACAGAAAGAAGATGAGTTAGAAACCATCGAAAGGTTGGGTGATTCATATATCAAAGATAGACAATTCGTATTAAAAATAGATATGTAAAGCATGCCGCGCATATTATATTCATTTTTATATTCATTTTATAAAAGATAAAGTAATACGTGAAGTGCTCGAGTTATAATTTTTCAATTGAAATCGATAAATTCTTGAAATTTTTCCATGACAGTTTAAATTAAACATTCCGCGCATACGAGAAGTAATTTCATTTATCTGATAAAAACGAATGGCGACCGAAAAATATTAATAAAAATAAATTTATTTATGCATAGAGACCAAGGTACATTACCATCGGTCACATCACGACATAGTGTGAGGAGAAAGCAGAAATATTTTTGTACTCTTTCGCACTTTACGCGCTGTGCGATGGTCGAGCGTCTCCGACGTTTATATCTCTTGATTATCGCTAACATCTGGCAACATGGCATCGAGTTATACGAAATATGAAACAAAAAGAAGCCTGAAGACCATATCAGACTAGCGGTTATCTGATTACGGTTGCCGATTGACGATTCTATTATTACTAATCACATTGACCATAACCAGGGCCTGCTACATTGTGATTGGCTGAAATAGAATCGCCAACCGTAGTCGGCAACCGCTAATCTGATATGGCCTTCAGAGTGGTCATGGACGCGTTTTAACTGTACCCTTATTCGCGTTGGTAATGTGCACGTTTTTGTGATTCTGTTCCGTGCTAGAAGAATGATAAAGAGGGACGATATGGACACGATATCCATATCTTTCATATTACCTCACACGTAACAGCACATGCATCGAGTCGCTTAAAAATAACTAGGACTAAAGTTACTTATAATTTACGAATTATTAATAAATAAGGTATAGGATAATTTATCGATAAAATAAGGATAATATATGTATATGGACCTAGCAAACGACTAGCAAACGTTTTAACACCGAAATATTCATGAAATCATAAGATAAAGATTCCAAATGAGATAATCAAAGTCATATGTATACTGCGATATATGTATATATGTGTATCATTGTTATTCTAAACATGTTATTTGCGGTAAATATCACAAGTTATAGTCTTACAAACATGAAGCTACAAGTCCATTTTAGTCAAATTATATATTTTAATCATATAAAAGATTTGATAAACCACTGTTTAAAAAAATAATAAAACTCAAGTAGTAGTTTCTTTAATTTAAAAATAATAAAAACCAAATTATATGTATATCTTTCTATCCATTAAAAACTTCTTTTTCTAATCCAAGTGGTAGTAATTATTTAGCTTTAAAATATTTTTATATCACAAAATTGCTTTACTCAATTTACGTTTTATTACAAAGAATTATAAAGTAACAGTATAAAATAAATGATAAAATTTTATTTAAATAAAAAAAATTTTATGTAAAAACACTTAGCGCTGCTCATACCTCTAAAAAGAATATGAATATGTGTGTGTGTTTGTGTGTATGTGTGCGTGCGTGCGTGCGTGTGCGTGTATGTGCGTGCGCGCGCGCGCGCGCGCGCGCGCGCGTGTGTGTGTGTGTGTGTGTGTGTGTCGGCCTCCGTCGTGATGCACACCTCCCTTCTTATTCGGGGGCTCGAGCCATGCTTGATGCAATCTCTCCTGCTGCGCATCAGGAGGATTATTTATATATTTACCAATGGCGTTGGAGGGTGTCATCGCTGCAGTCCGACCTGCATCCATCGAGAGACTAGGACCATCATCTCTCTAGAGTACCGGTCGTGGGGATTCGAGGGAATATACATGTATATATGTATATATTGTATAAGTGTGATTGATATATGTATATATGTGTATTATTGTATTGTTGACGTGTTATTCTAACATGTCATTATTTGCGATAAATATCACCTAATAAAATTACCTTTTAAAAAAGATAAAAAATAACGCCAAGTTCACGTTTTCTTATTTATGTAAAAGAAAAATTTTATACAAAAATTTTCATCTACAAAAGTCTTTTTAATAATAAATTTCATATTGGTACAAAAGATGTGATATGAAGAATTGGCGCCAACTTCTACGAGGGTAGTCTGAAAAGTTTTGAGCCTTAACATGAAGATGACGTTACTCGTCAAAACCATTCTAATACTACAATAGTATATGCTTTGAAAGACTTTTGTGAAAATTTCAACCATTTTGAACGTCCAGTTGTTGTTTGACAGTCGTTTGTGTTAGTCGATGTCAGTGTTTTTGTAAAAATGGAAAAAATTGAATATCGTGCCGTGATTAAATTCTTACATTTAAAAGGCAATATGCCTGCGCAAATTAAAATCGAGTTGGATGCTGTTTACAGGGACTCTGCCCCATCATTTGCCACCGTAAAAAGATGGACAGCTGAATTTAAACGTCGTACCAGCTTGGCTGATGATGAGCGTTCGGGATGGCCAAAAACTGCGACCACCGCTGATAACATCGAAAATGTTCACCAAATGGTACTGGACGACCATCGAATCAAGGTTAGAGAGATAGCAGAGGCTATGAGCATATCGAAAGAACGCGTTTGTCATATATTGACTGAAGAATTGGATATGCGCAAGCTATCCGCGCGTTGGGTGCCGCGCTTGCTCACTTTGAACCAAAAACGAATTCGAATGGACATTTCCAAGGCCCTGTTGGAGCGGTTCAAGCGAAACGAGTCAGATTTTTTGCGTCGATTCATAACTGTAGATGAAACTTGGATCCACCATTACACTCCAGAGACAAAAGAACAGTTAAAACAGTGGACTGCAAAGGGTGAATCTGCTCCGAAAAAGATGAAGACGGTTTCATCAGCTGGGAAGGTAATGGCGACTGTTTTTTGAGTCACAGAATTGTGTGTATCGACTATCTTGAAAAAGGTAAAACAATAACGGGAGCGTATTACGCATCATTACTTGATAAGCTGAAGGTAGAAATTGCAAAAAAACGGCCGCATTTGAAGAAGAAGAAGAAGAAATTGCTGTTCCATCAAGATAACGCACCTGCTCACACTTCGACGGTCGCCATGGCCAAAATTCACGAACTGCACTTCGAATTGGTTGACCACCCGTATTCATTAGATCTGGCTCCCAGCGATTTTTTTCTGTTTCCTAAGCTTAAAGTTTCACTTGGAGGACAGAGATTTTCATCGAACGAGGAGGTCATCGCATACGTAAACGCCTATTTTGCGGAGCAAGATGCCAACTACTATTTGGAGAGGTTAAAGAGGTTAGAGTATCGATGGGAAAAGTATATCAACTTAAAAGGAGATTATGTTGAAAAATAAAACTGTAATGGCAGGGCCGTTACTTGTAAGGAAAATATATATCCATGTATACATATACACTTGGCTTGTTATTTGTCCTGCGCTGCCTATCCTGCTTGCACGCACACCGCTCGCGCTATTCCACTCGCTTGCCTGTACACCGCACGCGCCGTCTCGCTCACGCTATCGCTCATGGTACCCCACGCGATACCGACTCCCCACCGCCGGATCGATGGCGCACAATAGGGAACGCCGGCCGGGTATATAAGCCCGGCCGGCCGAGACATGGGATCAGATCCCATCCTGCGATCCGATTCCTGACACCGACCTGACCAGTACCTACTACCTCTTGGAGCCAAGGTTTCGCTTGGTTCTGTCGGGTTTCGCCGACTTCTGTCACCACGCCTCGGGCTAAGGTTTCGCTTAGCTCTGTCGGGTTTCGCCGACTCCTGTCACCACTCCTCGGGCTGAGGTTTCGCTCAGCTCCACCGGGTTTCGCTGGTTTTCGTTGCGAAGGCAAGGCTCGACTCGGCCCTGCCCGCAATACCTCGCCGGCATTCAACCTGACATTAGCTTATAAGTGCATGCGATTCTATTAGTTATAAGCTGATACAGATTCTGTTAGTTATAAGCCGGTAGCTCTAAGTTCTTTAACCGCGCCATAGTCACGTGTAAATAAACCGTTGTCGACTGCATACCGCACCTGTCTTGCGTCGCCTTACGTCAACTGTTTGCGTTTCCGCTTTGCAGCGACACTGCGACATCACCCGGCTCTGCACTACTCTGTATCTATCTTTCTACCAATAAACGATCTTTTCGCTGCAACCTGTGTTCGCGTACGCTCTCCCCTCCTCTCGAACCCGGACACCGACGAGCCGAGTGTCGAGTGAGGTGACCGCGTTACAAAACTATATTTGACCGAAAAAATACTTGTTTCTATGTTAGGCTCAAAACTTTTTAGACTACTCTCGTAATTTAATAAAATAAAAAGAGTTTTACATTGAAATACATTTTATCTTGTAGTTTATTTTTATTTGAAAAATCGTTTCATTATTTCTACAAAAAACATGATATAAAAAATTGGCACAAACTTTTAATTATATGAAGTAGAAAAGAAACTTTGCAAAGGTGAAAAAAAATGTTATCAATCCAAAATTAATGTCAATTTATAGTTGGCAAAAAAATTTTATTGAATTATTGTACTTGTGTTATATAAAAATATAATATAAAAGAAAATCTGATAAGAAAAAAAAACGTACAAAAACTTGGCGCGCCCGGGTCGTATTAAAACTACTTTTAATAATAATGAATTATGTGACAGATAAATAAAAAACAGTTTGAATTAAAATTTAATATATTTTAAGATTTTTTATTTTTAAACTTATTTCTTTTTTAATATTAACTAAATAAAATTAATGAAATATATAATTAATTATTAATTAATGAAACATTTTTTACATAAATAATGCAAGAAACTTAAGAGTTTATTTTATTAGAATGTTATCCAGTATAAACGCGTGTGTTTTAATATTTATTAATAAATTTTTTTTAATATTATATATTTACATATAATATTAAAGAAAAATATATAAATAAAAATTATATAAAAAATTTATTACAAATAATTTAAAAAGTAATATATACATTATTAATGTAAAAAGATAAACAGTAAGAGTGCAATATAATAAGTATGTATGTATGTGTTTTAATGCGACCCGGTCGCATCAAGTTTTTGTATGTCGTTTTTTTTCTTACA